TCGTCATCATCCACATGCACGCGTCAGCGTGCGAGCGATGTTCGCTATGCAACGGCATAATCAAGCCCACTGGGTTTCCGAGGCGAGCATGCTCGCGATGCATAACTGTGAGATTTGCCAGTGTAGAACATAATAAAACAACACATAATACATATACGTAAAACGTATGCTTGTTTATTAGAAAGAAAACAGACAACTTCACCATGACATAAAAATAAGAAAAACAAATAACATTATATTGCCGATGTTGAAATTTGCATTATGATAGTTATCGGATAGTTCGTTGCATGTTGATATAGGGTAGTTGTAGGATAGTTTATGAATCGTTGAACAAGCTATTCATAAACTAGCATATGGCTATCCTACACCTTGTCCTTAACTATCGTACATATATTCGATATATTCTGAGATAGTTTTGGGCGGGCTTGTAAGATGAGGAGGAAGGCATCGGCCGAGTGGAACAGTTTTGGTTGAAGGACCTCAGGCAGGTTGCAGAATATTAGACGCTGCACCTGTTGTTGTTCATATGAATCCAGGCAGGGTGAGAGCGCGCCGCGTGAACTGCTGAATTGGACGGAGAGCTGAGGACCGCTATGTGCCCAGACTGACAGCGGGAGGGCGCTTGCGAAGACGGAACATCGGCGAAGGGTTCGCACGGATCGCCAGCGTCAGGACGGCGTCAAGAGATGAGGCGGTTGCTTCTTGGGGACTTTTTGGAAGTCAGCCGGTGGCTTCTTTGTGCTCGCCTCCGGGGCTAGTCGGAAGCTTTCGAGGGGCTGTTGAGGCATTGTTGGCGTGATTGTTCGTGTGAAGAGGCCGTGGAGCCGTATTTGAATTTTCTTGCAGCGATCGTGCCCCGTCTTGGCAAGTTCTCTGGCACTGTTGGTACCCTTTTGGGACCGCCTCCGCGGTCCTGGGTCTTTACGTGGCCCACGGGGACGATCTTGGGGCCTCCTGAAACTTTCATTCGTTTTCTATGCAGGCGGACTTGGGAAGTGCATCGCGTTGAATCGTCTTAGGTTTTACAGTGCTCTCGACCTCGTAGGGCCCGGCTGCAGCGCTTGTTGAATCCCTCACAAGGGGGCTGCTTGGGCGTCTTGTGGACATCTTCGGAACAAATCTACAAGTATGTGGCGCAGGCAACCTCTGCATTCCAGATGGAAGTGTGTGGCCTGAGAGGAGCAATCGAGAATATTAGGATGAGCTTGTGATATGTGTTATTCGCAACCTGAGCAAGGGCGCGCACCCGCAAAACAGACAGTACATCTTGCCGCCGTCCTCGGGGTGCTCTTTGGGTCGTCTCGGAGCCGCGAGTAGTACCGAAGTCCAAACCGTACGGTGCGTGGACTTTACGCATGTGCGCCCCTGAGGCCGCCTCCCGAAGGCAAAGGAGACCGTGTCTACCAGCGAAGACTCCAAACAGCAGGCTCCTGGAATATGCAACATGTCAGGCACAACCTGTATACGATGAACGTACGTGTTGCAACTTAAAGTACAAGCTGTGCGGTGCAAGTGTGGTGGTTCGATGTATGCTGTGCAGTATGTGTGGTCAATGCGTGGCATACCATCTACGTGGTGCAATCCACGCGGTGGAAGCTATCCAACATATAATTTGTTGCGGCATGCTACGTGGTTGTTGTTGTTGCTGTTGTTGTAGCTGTTGTTGATATCGTTGTTGTTGTTGGTGGTGTTGGTGTTGGTGTTGAACTTTCACTTCTGAAGAATATGTTTTATTGATCCTCCCACCGGTGCATCTTTTCTCAATCAAAGTGTGCCCCTCGACGCTCGCACCTTGTTTTTTGGCAGGGAAAGTTTTATGCTCAAAAAGGGCACCTGGCCCCCGGGTTACAACAACAACGGCTCCCGCCTGAGACTTCCTCACAATTTGGCCAGGACCCCCGCTCCCGCCCTAGACGTCCTGTCATGGTATTCAGGAATCGCGTTCTCGCTTGGGTTTTCTTTACAACTTGTTCAGGAATCGCTCTCCTGGCGCTCTGGAGTCGCGCTCTCGCTGGAGACTTGCTTGCAATTTACTGACGAAGAGCGCCCTTGCATTGGATTTTTTTTTGCAATCTACTCAAGCGCCGCGCTCCCGACACCCAGGCACCCAGGAGTCGCGCTCACGCTTAGGACTCCCTCACAGATCACCTAGGAATCGGGATCTCGCTGCCCTTCGTGGCCCAGTTGCAGCCCTTCGTGGCCCCCTCGCTGCCCTTCGTGGGTCCGTTGCAGCCCTTCGTGGCCCCCTCGCTTTGTTACGTGGCCCCGTTCCTAGCCTCCTCGCTGTCCTTCGTGGCCCCGTTGCCGCGCTTCGTGGCCCCATCGCTGCCCTTCGTGGCCCCGTTGCAGCCCTTCGTGGCCCCCTCGCTGCCCTTCGTGGCCCCATGTATGTATGCCCTTCGTAGCTTCCGCTCGTTCGCGCCCGTGGTGGCCCCATATGCATGCCCTTCGTGGCCCCGCTGTCGCCCTTTGTAGCCCCCTCGCTGCCCTTCGTGGCCCAATTGCTGCCCTCAGTGGCCCCGTCCTGGCCCTCAGCGGCCCAACATACGTATGCCCTTCGTGGCCCCCGGTCGTTCGCGCCCGTTGTGGCCCCATGTGCATGCCCTTCGTGGCCCCGTTGTCGCCGTTTGTGGCCCCCTCACTGTCCTACTTGGCCCAGTTGCAACCCTCAGTGGCCCCATCGTTGCCTTCTGTGGCCCCGCATTATCTGCCCTTCGTGGCCCCCGCTCGTTCGTGCCCTGCGTGCCCCCATACGCATGCCCTTCGTGGCCCCGCTGTCGCCCTTCGTGGCCCCCTTCCTGCCCTTCGCGGCCCTGCTGTCGTTCTCTCTCGCTCTCGGTTTCGTCGTCGTCGTCGTGGTCGGTCCCCTGTCCGTCCCTCTTGGGGTCGGGTCGTCGGTCCACGGCCGCCCCGCCGATCAGCGCTGCCGCTGGCCAGGCCGACGGTCCGCGGCCGCCCCGCCGCTTGCCGGGGCCCAGCCTTCAGGGAAGAAAGGTGTATCCCCCAAAAAGGGTTCGATCGAAGACGAAGAGGGCGGGTATCGAAGGTTTGGGAAATACGCGTTATTAAACCCTCGAGCAGATAGGGGCGAACAGTCTTAAAATGATTATTGTTGTTGTTATTTAATCGCTTCGCTCATTCCGCCGGCCCTGGAGCCCTCTTTAGGGCCTCTTGGGGGCCTCTTGGGGACCTCTTGGGACTCTCTTGGGGCTCCTTGGCGGCGTCCTGGGGGCCCCCAGGGCCTCTTGGGGGGCTTTCGGGGGCCTCGTGGGGCGGGAGGGGGGGTAGTCGATTGCGGCTCCCCCCTTTGACGGCTACGATCCTCGAGAGGGGTGCCGAAAAATTGCCCTCCCATGGATTGCCCTACTTTGCGGTCGCCGCAACTTGACCAGTTGTAAGTTGGGTTGCGCACGATTTAACAAACATACAGTTGCGACACATATATCTCAACTTGGAGGCCACATCCTACGTGTGGCATAACATGCACACGAACATATAACTCCTGAGCTAAGTGTGAGCCTGGTTATAAGTGTATGTTAACTGGTTCGTAGCTAGATCGTAACTAGATCGTAACTAGATCGTAACTAGTTCGTAACTGTTCAATCGCCCATCCGAGTTTTCAAGGGTGCGCAACCCAACTCACAAGAGTCCCCTTCAATCCTCCTCCCTCCTCCTCCTCTTCCTCCTCCTTCTCCTCCTGACCCTTCCTCTTCTTCCTTCATTACATATCATCATCCCCCCCTCCTCCTCCTCCCCCCTCGTCTTTCGTCCCTCGTTCCCCCCTCTACCTCCTCCTTTTTCCTTCCTCATGTTCCCTCTTCCTCCTCGTCCACATCTCCCTTTTCACCGTCACCATCCTCTCCCACCCTCCTACCCCCATCCTGCTCGTCTTCCTCCTCCTTCTGCCGCTCCTCCATTTACCCCTTCTCATCCAGCTCCTCCTCCTCCTCCTCCTCCTCCTCCTCCTCCTCCTCCTCCTCCCCCTCCTCCCCTCCCTCGCCGTCGCCACCCCCCCCGTGCGCGCGGGGCCGGGCGGCGTCCCCGAGCTCTCCGAGGGCGACGGCGTGGCCAGGCGGGGCGGGGCGGCGGCGGCGTGGGGGGCGACGACGACGACGACGATAGGAGGAGAGGCGACACAGTCAACCCGCAGAGCAAGGGTGCGCGATGAGGGTGCAAGGCCCTTGGGCGCCCATCTCGAAGCGTTTCGAGCGGGGCGCGGCCAACGAAAGTGTCCAAGGATGGACCCAGGAAGCAAGGATGCAAGGGCACCCTGTGGAGGGATGGCTACCCTTACTCTGCGGGTCGATTGTAGGAGGGACCAGGGCGAGACCAGGATTGGGGCCCCGCGAAGCGGGCCACGGCCATCGCACTGTGCACTCGTGCCCGGGCCAGCGTTTGTTTGTACAACAAGGCCTGATGCGAGGTCCCCCCCATTCCCAGCGAAAACCAAACCTTCCAAGACGTGTTCCCCGCATTGCCCCGACGAGTTCCCCCGCGCTCCCCCCCCCCCCTCCCACGATGGAGGGAGAAGGGTGGAAAAATTGGGGATCCGAGCGGTTTTTACCAGTTTGAAACATATCTCTATCCCTGCATCACCTCACGTCGATGCCGACCTTAAGGGCTTCCCCAATTTTGGGGGGCAACAAGCGAGGACAATCTTAGAGATAGGATAGGATATCCCTATCTCTAAGATTGTCCTCGCTTGTTGCTCGCCAATCTGAGCGATAGGGATAATTTCGAGGCTGGTTAAGTTTTCGAAGGAGATGGGGGGGGGCCTCTGCTTCCGCTAACGTAGCAAGGGAGAGCTGAGGGAAAGAGAAGCGAGTGGAGGAGGAGCTGAGGCATCGGAAGCACGGAGGAGGGAGATGGGCGGAGGAGGGAGAGTTGAGGGAACGGAAACACGGAGGAGGGAGGGGGGAATAACGGAGGCCAGGAGGGAGATCGGAGGCAGGGTCAGGAGCCCGTCCTCCGCACAAAGCTGCAAAATGCAGCGTCGATCCTCACTGCAAGCTGACAGCGAAGAGGCTCAGGAAATGCAGCTGGCGGTCCTGCACCGGGCAACATGTTTTAGGCAGCTTGTCTAGAGCCTCTCCCAAGGCCACTGCGTCGACGGGATCTTCCAGACCGAGGTAGTGGCAAGCCCCTGCCAGGCCCACCCACGCGCCGCGGGGGTCCTCAGGGGGCTTCAGGATGTCAGGAATGGCGCCCGCGTGCATGGACTCAACCACGCGCCCGAAGAGAACCTGGCGGTCGGGCCCATTCACCTCCATCTCGACCGCTGGAGCCGCCTCGACTTCAGGAGCTGGGGCAGGACCAGGGGGCTGCGGCAAAGGGGCCATCGGGGAAGCAATGGCGTCGGGGTTGTCGAGCGCACGCGCTAGAGGCGGCGGCAACTGGACCATGGCCTCAGAGAACATCAGTTTCAGGATGTCATCGCCGCACGAGTTCTTCGCCTTCCTGAATCGATGTCTTGACGCGTGGGGCGAGGATACTCCACAGATCACGCGCCTCCTGGCGCCTTTTTATAGCAGAATGCGCAACCTCGCCCTGAGCCTCTCGCACGGGCGACACCGAAACACTTCTTTCATGATCACGGTGCCATCGCGCGCCTCCCTGCCAGCGGCCCACTGCACCACCAGGTCGGTCTCCGCAGGGTCAGCACAACGGCTGCAAATGTCAGCGAGAGCCATCGCAATGCAGCGAACGCGATGCGGAGAGGGCTGGCGAGTGAAAGTGCGAGGTGGGGTCGGCTTGACACACGCGGCTATCACGGGGCGAGGGGAGGGGGCGGGGCAGCGCGCGGAGGCGCATCCCCCAGGTCACGTAATACGAACCGAGCGAAACCCATGATGCTCGGGATGACGTCGCGAGTTCCGGCGTCGGCCATCTTGGAGACAGCTTGGGCCATCTTGGGCCATCTTGGACAGAGTCTAGGAGCCATGTTGGGCATCTTGGAGACCGCCTAGGGACCATATTGGGCCATCTTGGGCCATATAAGGCCATCTTGGAGACCGTTTAGGGGCCATATGTGGGCCATCTTGGAGCCCTCTCGGGCCGCCTTGCGGGCCTCGGCTGGGTCGTTTTGAATTCTTCCAAGAGCGATGCCAGGGCGAAATCACGACATGCGACGCCATATTGGGCGGTCTTCGACCCCCTGAAGTCATATTGGGACCATGTTTTGGGCAATGCTGACACCATGTCGGGCGATCCCTGGCCCTTTTAGGCCGCCCTGCAAGGCTCCGGCGCGCCGTCTTGGAATGGGGGCGGGGGGGGGCGGATGAGAAGGTGGAGGGGGAGAAGGAGGAGGGGGGGGGGAGAAGGAGGGGGGGGAGGAGGAGGAGGAGAAGGAGGACCAGAAGGAGGCGGAGAGGGAGGAAGAGGCGGCGGAGGAGGAGGAGGCGGAGGAGGAACGGGAACATGAGAAGTAGGAGGTGGCGGGCGACGGCCTGGAAGGGAGGGGGGTGAGGAGGGGGCGGAGGAGGATGAGGAGGAGGAGGAGGAGGAGGGGAAGTAGGAGAAGGAGGAACAGGAGGAGGGTGACGAGGAGGGAGAATACTCATCACTCGCTGCGTGGAGCTCCCCATCTGTGCATCTGCTTGCATGGGCCTGTCCGTCGCGAGCGTCTGGGCACGAGAGTGTTCGAGTATAAGCGTTCGACGGTCTGGGAGTGCATCTACTCGTGGGCGAGTTGGAGCGCGAATGGGCTTCAGAGCGCGTCTCCGCGCATGGGCCCGGGGACTTTCGGGGCACCCTGGAACCTCCTGGTGCTTCCTGGGGCCCCCTTGGGCCTCGTGGGGCGCCCTGGGGTTTCTCCGGCCTCCTGAAGCCTCCTGGGGCCTCGTGCGGTCTCCTGGGGCCTCCTGGGGCATCCTGATGCATCCTGTGGCATCCTGGTCCCTCCTGACACCTCCTTGTACCTCCCTTGGCCTCCTGCAGCCTGCTGGAGCCTCTACTGGCATCCTGAAGAGGATCCGCGCCCACGAGTCTGGCCAGCAACATAAGCAAACCGCTCGAGACACCCTCAGAATCTGCCCGCCCGACGCCCCGGGGACGAAAGTGGGCGCCTCGCTCGAGACATCCCCCACATCTGCTCCGACAGGGAAGGAAGCTGGGACACCGAAACAAGCGAACCGCTCGAGAGATCCCCACCAGTTTGGCGCGAACGGATGCCGCGCAATGCCCCTGGCGGCCCCTCTTAGGAGTGCGAAAACCAGCAGACCGCCTGAGACATCTTCAGAACCTGCTCTAAACACACAGGATGCTGGGGCACCGAAACAGGCAAATCGCCTGAGACATCCCCGCAATCTGAGCGCGAACGGAGGCCGTGCAATGCCCCTGGCGGCCCTTAGGAATGCGACACCTGACAAGCCGCTCATCATCATCATCATCATCATCATCATCCTCAACATCATCATCATCATCATCATCATCATCATCATCATCATCATCATTAGCAGCATCATCAACATCGTCCGCATTACCATCATCATCATAATCACCATCGGCATCATGATCATCAGCATCATCATCATCACCATCATCATCATCGGCATCATCATCATCATCAGCGGCATCCTCAGCAGCATCATCATCACCACCATCATCATCACCACCATCATCATCACCATCATCATCATCCTTGAGGTCTTTGATGTTTGCGTTGACCCTGTAGGGTAATCCACAAGTTCCGCCGCGACCGCTACGTTTGCCTGATGTGTTTCGGCGGGCAAGGCAAGCGCTTAAACTGACAGGAATCGTTTTTCCCCAATGCGTCTGGTCTGCCGCACTCATGATCATCATGATCATCATGATCATCATCATCATCATCATCGTCATCATCATCATCATCACCATCATCATCCGCATCATCATCATAATCAGGAAGGGGAGGAGGATAAGGTAGGATGAGGTGTGACAGGAAGGTCCACGCGGTCACAGTAATAACAAGAACCCCATTCTTTGGATATGGGGAATACAGGTCGTGACTAGTGTTATGCGTTGCACTTGCGGGCTGAGGCTAGCCTTCAGCGGTGCGAGGTTTGCCAAACTGGCGAGAAGACATCGGCGCGTGCGAGCGACAGACGAGGCCAGCGCCCCGTCAAGCCCGGCGAGGCTAGCCGTCGGCCCGGGCAGAGACAGGCATGCCAAGGCAACCGCATACGAAATTATGTAACTTGCGTGCCAAGGGAAAAGGTGCCCTGCGCGCAAGCGCGCTGCGAACTCAAGAACTTACTCGGCAGTAGTCCGTCAACCGGGCCCAAACATCCTGAGGGTCATTCACCTTGTAGCCCCAATACTTATCGACGCGCTCGCCTTTCTTGAGGGTGCGCCACGCGCAGTGCCTCGCATCCACGTATATGCGAAACGAGCCGATGGCGACCGGGGGCCTCTTCGCATCAGGCGGGCCCGGGTAGTCAATGCTGTCGGCGGCGAGCGGCTGGTCAGCGAGGGCGGCTGGCTTGCTGCCCTGGAGGCCACGGCAGCCGCGGCCGCTCCCTGGCGCTGAGGCCGCCCGGCCACGCCCGCGCCCGCGCCCGCGCCCTCGCCCTCGCCCCGCCGCGGGCGCTGGCTCCGACGTCGCCCGAGGGGCTGCGCCCAGGAAGCGCTGCTTGCCATTCGGGCGCCTGCGCTTCGCTCCGTGCTCCTCCTGGGCCGCGGCCGCCTCGGCGCAGCGCCTCGCTGCTGCCTGGCGGCAGCTCTGCTGCAGCCTGTCCGCGATCTCCAGCGCCGCGGGGGTCGCGGATGCCGGAACGAAGGCCGGCGACCCTGCTGGCGCCTCCGCCTCCGCCAACGGCGGCGACTCAGAGGTTAGCGACGCCCCGGGTGACCCCAAGGGCGTCTGGCTGCCGTCCATGAGCATGGGGGGGCCCTGCGGCGGCGGGCCCCCAGGGGCCTCCTCGGGCCGCGAGGAGGCGAGCGGGGCTTCTGCTCCGTGCGGAGGAGGGGCGGGCAGAGCAAGGGCGTTGCCGACGGCGGGTGGCGCCTTCGATGCCTCCTGGATGGGGCCCGAGTACATGGGGCCGAAGGATCGCGCAGCTGCGCCAACGCATCGCCGATGCATCGGCGATGCATCGGCGACGTGAGCGATGCATCGGCGACGTCGGCGCGAGTCAAATCGGGTTTCGCATCGAGCCGCATCGCACGATCTTCGGACCCCATCCACTCCGACCCTATCAAGCAGGCCCAAACGCCTGCGGACGACCGAAGATCTGCAGACCGGGCAAGCACCGCATCTGCTGGTCAGGCTGGCCCGCAAACATCATGCGGTTCTGGCCCGCCATGTTGGCCGCGAACGCCTCGAGGGCGCGGCGCTGGCCCCCGCCCTTCGCCTCCTCCTCCTCCCCCTCCTCCTTTTCCTCCTCCTCATCCTTCTACTCATCCTCCCCTTCCTCCTCCTTCTCCTCCTACTCATCCTCCCCTTCCTCCTCCTCCTCCTCCTCCTCCGCCTCCTCCTCCTCCTCTGCCTCCCCTCGGGCCATATTCTACATCGTTGTTGAACATGTCAGGTTTAGCTCAACTGTTAACCTGGCCCATCCTCCTCCTCCTCCTCCTCCGCCTCCTCTCGGGTCCATGTTCTTAATCGATTTAGCACATGTCAGGTTTAGCTCAACTGTTAACCTGGTCCCTCCTCCTCCTCCCCCTCCTCTTCCTCCTTCCCCCGAGCCTGTAGCATCGCCTGCTGCGCGGCGAGGGGGGGCTGGCGGCCCCTGCCCATGGGCACCGTCACGGCGCTGTGGGTCTGCCTGGCGGGCAGCTGTCGGCGGTGCATCTCTACCCGAACCGAGTCAATCCTCGACCTCGCTGGGTGCCCAGCGCCTTTAGGTAAAGCAAGGTCCGCAGTTGGGTAGGCTGCGCTGTACAGGCTCGGGTGCGCGGTGCGGATGTCGTTCGGGTTCGCGCTGAACAGCTCGACGCACGGGAGGCCGCGCTGGGGCGTGAACGAACGAGCTTTCTTCGCGGCGACCGTCACGTCCTTCAGGGTGGCAAGGGCAGAACACGTTGCGGAAGGGTCGGGTTCCCCGCCGCCGCTGGTCACGAATGCCAGCAGCGCGACGATCTGCACCTTGGTCGGTTCGGAAGGGTACAACACGTTCAGCGCCCGCAATCGCTGCATGATGACGTCGAGCTTGATGCTCGAAGCCGCGTGGGGGTCGAGAAGCCGCGCCCACTCGTCTTCAGTGAAGTACTGGTGGACGTGGAGGTTACACTGTAGCCTGCGCCTGCCCAGGGCGGGCTGACCGTTCTGGGCGGCATTCACGGCGGCAGCAATCACCGCGCGGTCCGCCGCGGGGAAAGTGCCGTTGGCCAGGTCGGTGAGCGCGCCCGTGGCCACGGCCGCGGCGATGCCGCCGCTGGCCGCAATAGCCGCCTCGACGAGGCCACGCTGCTGCGCGACCGCCCGGCCGAACTCAGGAGACCCGACTAGCATGCCATTAGCAATGTTGGCTGCGAAGAACGCGTTCGCAGTGGCGAGCGCCTGGGCCGCCATGGCCAAGGCTCCCGGGCTGACTGGTAGCGGGCCTGCGAGCTCACTGAGACAAACTCCTCGCGCCTGAACGCTCGCGGTGGAGGAGGAGAAGGGCGAGAAACAAAGAAGAGGGGGAGGAGGAGGGTAATTGGAAAACGATAAGGAGAAGAACTCATGGTCCCTTTTCTGTGGGCCTCGGGGGTGCTTCCTGTGAGCATATTG